TAATTTTCAATATATTCGAGTTGGTTAATTCGATTTCCAAATTAACCATCAAACGTCGTCGTTTTGAAATATCAGAGCCAGTTTTAGACTTGTTGTCTCAATCCCACTCGCTCATTTACTTCACTTTGTCATCTTTCGTAGCGACGGAGATTGCGATTTGCGACCGTTGTTGTCTCTCACTGTCTCCGGTAAGGTTCTCAAACTCTCTCATTGTGTTTCTCAGTTGGGATTTGTTCCTTTAGCTTGATTTGGTTTGCAAATGGGATTAGTCATGTTACTTTTTAGGGTTTCTTATTTTGGTGGATTTGCTTTGAAATATTACGAATTTTTCAGTGTGATTAGTGAAGAATGATGAATTTTTAGTTACATTGGTTTGGTTTTGCGGAAAAACTGCTCGATCTATATTTGTCACTGATAAAAATGGTGTTTTTCCTTGCTAGTTAGGGTCTTGTTGAGTTACTTTGATTTGCTGCGTAATGTTTCTTTCGATTTTATTTTCACATTCATAATGTGTAATTGAATCTTGAGAATTACATATGGATTTTCAGGGTTGAGTAATTGCAGATGGCAGTTCCCTATGATCCCAATTTCACAATGGCAATCACAATCGGAGGACAGATTGAGATCGACGATGACCTAGAGCACGGTAACTCTGGTTTATAACAAATTTTGATATAATATCCCCTTTGCAAGAGGAAAATGAATTGACTTTACATTGGATTTGATTCTTTTTATATCTTGCAGATGAATCTGCTTCTGCGGCTATCGTAGCGGTTGATTTGATAAGCTCTGCACGGCTTGCACTTAAGCTGGACAGTGTGTATACTGAGTACTCAGCTCAGTATCTGGTGGACAATGCTCGTCCGAAAGACAGGCACAAGAAGAAAGACAGGCAAAGAGGAAAGAATCGCAAGCTCACTGTGAAAGACTGTCTTGAGTTTGCGTTGAAAAAAGGCATACCGAAAGCAGAAGATTGGCCAGAGTTGGGATCTGTGTCAAAGCCTTCTTCATCGTATAAACCTGCTCTTGTTTCCATGAAAGGAAAAGTGATTGAGGCTAAGAATATAGAGGAAGCATGTGACTTGTTGATTGATCAACCGGTGGGAGCAAAACTGCATTTGTTCAGTCCACAGATTGATCTTGTTGGAGACGTAAGTGGTGTTAGTTAGATGAGAGATATATGACAAAGATTTGATCTAATATTTGTTTTGTTTGGTAGGGAATTTACGGTGGCCACTCAGGTGAGGAACACGGTTATGTTGGACTTAGAGACGGGATAATACTTGGAGTCGAGAAGATCCAGGGAAAGTCCATAGCAACAGTGAAGCTATGGTACAAGAAGAAGTTTCAGTTTGTCAAAGTTGCTTTGAGCAGGATGTTTTTCGACTCCGCTCGGGGCATAGCACCAACTACTCTGCTTGTTGACTATTGTGTCCCACGCCTATCCATCAATTGAGTCAGAGATCTTATCCTAATAAGTATCTAGAGAACAATATGCTACTAGTTTGGAACTTGTTTGTTGTACTAAACTAAGACTTTTATCTGCAAGTTAAGATGTTCATTGAATTGATGTCTAAGATGGTTCAGTTTAGACGGATCATTGTGATACATTCGGTTTGGTTTTGAGTTTTATTATGAATTTAAGATCAATCAAATTTGATATATGTTTTTAGTGGTTGCTAAAGATTATTTTTGCTCAATGCCCTTAGGCCTTAGTTAAGATTAAATCTGAAACATTATTTATATGAATTTGTTAGTAAAAATTAAAGCTAACCTCTACATATATATCAACAACTTAAACAAATTATATGGCGATTTTCTTCAACTTTATAAATTTTCCTATAA